ATGAGGAGACAAACCTGAGGTGCAAAGCTAGGAGAGGATCCCATACACAGCAATCCTCACCTCTCCCAGAGGTGAGCCTACACTAAGGGGGGTCTCACTAAGCAGGAAGACCCAGGGAGTGGCCAGCGTGAGGCAAGGAGCCATCTGTGCGCTCTCACAGCCCCTCAGGTGAGCCTCTAGTCAGCACCACCTTCTGAGCTGGCTGAGTCAGGCTCAAGGCCCAGGCCAGAGGCCTGATGCAGGAATGAGAAGGGCTCACTGCGGTGGGGTCAGCGTGGCGGCCAGGGCTTGGGCCAGATGACCACCTGGAGAGCGGCAGACCTTTGTGGTCTGTGCTGGCTGGTGGCTTCCCACGGGGTCTTCCAGTATCCTTCAGTGTAGTGGAATCCCACAGTCCAGGTCCCCTGCCTGCCTGCCTTAGCTGTGAGTTCTCAAGAGCTTGGTCCCCTCCACACTCAGCTCTAGGTCAGTGCTGGTGCCGGTGAAAGTAAACAGCAGGCGGTTAAACCAACAGCGCCCTGCGGATTCAAAGCTCATTAAATACTGGCCCCCCAGCCACTTTATGATGTGTCAGAAGCCAGGAGCAGCAGCGAGGCCCAGGAACATCAGGTTGCCAGGGCCACCCTGAAGCTTAAGCAGGAGCCGGGCTCCTGGCATCCCCACAGGGCAGAGCTGGGCCCTCCAGGATGGCCTTACACCCAGATTGGGGTTTGGTTAGAGAATGGCCAGCTGGGGGTTTAGGGTAGCCTGGAAACTGCAAGTGCAAGGCTGAATGGGAGAGGTAGGCAGAGGCCCTGGAGGCCTGGAAGCTTCCTGAGAGTCCTCTTTGAGGTCCAGGTCCTGTCGCCCAAATTAGCAGCCGTGGGTAGTAGAGGTTGCATCAGACAGCGACGCAGGCCCAGGAGGGTGATTTGGGTGCTGTTTGCCTCTCTTCAGTTCCTCTTTCAGGGGCTAATTGGACCCATTTGCTTTACCTCTGGGCCCTCTAGGGGTGGAGGACCTGCCCAGGAGGAGTTCCCCATGTCCTCAGGTGACCTCTTCCATGTGTAACTCAGCTCTTAAACAAATGTGTGTGACAAGTCACCTGGAAGGATTGTTAAAATGCAAAGGCCCAGCCTCTTGCCTAGGAGACTCTGAAACGGGGCGGGGTGGGGCCTGGCCTCTGCGTTTTTATGGGGCACTTGCCACCACCAGGCACTGCTGCAGAGTCCTGGGAGCCATGTTGAGAAACCCTGGCAGTCGGGGGTCAAGAAACCCTGGTTATGGCTGAGGATCCACCAAGCACCATGGTGGTGACAGACGCCATCTGTGTGAGCATGCAGCCCAGGTCATGTAGGCTTGGTGAGGAATGTCTAAGTGAGGAGCCTGAGGTTTGCACGGTGATGGCTCCAGCCCCAAGCGTGCTCACTTCCATGGTTGGCCTTACTCCACCACCGTCAGTGATAACACACTTTGCTCTCTGAGTGGTGACTGAGCGCTAGGCATAGGCTGAATGGTTTGGTCTTACGTCAGATATTTTTTTACTGTGTCAAAATACACATAACACAAAAGTTACCATGTTACCAGAACTATGTAGTACTGGGGCATTTTTTTTCATCCCCATAAAAAGAAACCCTGTACCCACTACCAGCCACTTCCCCTTCCCCTCTCCCTCCAGTTCCTGGTAACCAGTCTCTTTTCTGACTCTGCATCTGGCTGGTCCTTTTCTATCACTGAGATCACACAAGATCTGTCCTATGTGACTGGTTCCTTTCAATTGGCATTGGCACTTTGTTCCTTTTATGGCTGAATAATATTCTACATGAGTCCGCCCCTTTTTGTTTACTCATTCATCCATGCGTTGACATTTGGGTTGATGTTAGATATTTTACCAACTGTGTTCTGATCATGGCCAGGTGTTCATACATGTGATCTCTGGTACCGTATGAAGCAGACCCCTAAGGGCAGGTACTCTTGTGATTTTACAGTGGTGGCATCTGTGATCTGGAGAGGTGACAGACTTGCCCAGGGTGCAAAGGGAAGGTAGGCTCAACTCTCAGGACCTTGGCTTCCTGATCCCATGCGTGTCTTCTCTAGCTGCCCCCAGTGTCCTGCACTGCACCATGGTATGGTGACAGTGCCTCACACCAGGCTGACTGTGGCCCATGGAGCCATCAGAATTGTTTCTTTCTTTCTTAAAAACAGTCTTTGCTGGAGTCTACAGTCAGACCATCTAAATCAGGATCTCTAGAAGTATCCCTGTCCCCAGTGACATCCAGTTGTGTCTGCAGACATTTTGATCGTCCCAACTGTGAGGGAGGGGTTGCTACTGGTTGTCTAGTGAGCAGAGAGCAGTGCTTCCCTATGTGCACACACAGCCCCACAACAAAGAACCATCGGGCCCTGACGTTGGTGGGGCGGAGGCTGAGGACCCATTCTGTAGAAATTAGGCGGATAGCTTTCCAGCTCCTGGACTGATTCTTGGGTGCAGTAGGGCTGGGCTTTACTGGCAGCAGCACTGGACCTCTAGAAGGTGCCTGAAGCTCTGCATTTCCCACAAGTTGCCGGTATACCAGCCTCTGCTCCAGCTGAGGGCAAGACTGGATGTGGCTCCTAGGAAGTGGCCTGGACTCGTTCTCTTGCCTGTCTCTTTCAATCTGCATAGAAAACTAAGTTTCCCTTCAGGTAAGGAGGTAGAAATGCAGACCTGGCCTTGTGGCTCAGCTGGCTGTTTCAGATTGCGAGGTTTCACAGGGAGCTGCATGGAGTCGGAAGAGGCAGGCGTGTTCACAGCAGTGCGTGGTGATTCACCGCCCTGTCTCCCTCCCAGTCAAGCCCGGCCGCCAGGCCCCAGCCAGGCTGGCTGCAAGCCCTTGGCCAGCTTGCCCAGTAGCGATGACTCAGGTTTTCCACCTGTAAAATGGGAGGGGTGCCTCTTGCCACCTCCCTACCCATCCCCAGTGCCAGAAGCCCCTGTGGCCCCCCAACTCCATCAAAGGCAGATCTTAAAAGCTGGACGGTGGCTGCTGTTTTCACTGCTGCTAAATCTCCATTAGTGGCAGCTCAATTAGGAAGTCATCATGGAACTCCGATATTGAAAAAGAGGATTAATACCGCAGCCCATGTGGGAGGAATTAGCTTCTGCTGAGAGGCCTCTCTATAGGTCTCCAGCCGGCAGCTCCTGGAAGCTGTTGGCAAGCCGGGCTCTGGGAGCAGAGAGCCAGAGCCAGAGCCAGGCACGGAAACCGTCAGGGGGCTGTGCAGACACTGGGCTGGGTTTGCAAGGTGAGGTGTCTGGAAGCCTTTGGCTGGCTCAGAACAGACTCCTGACATGTTGCCAAGTCACCCTGTTGCAGCATCAGGGTGGCCCCAGCAGCCCCAGGGCAGGAGGAAGGGGATCCTAGGTGTCTGGAGCCCAGGAGGGAAGGGTTAAGTTTGGGCTTTGGGCCTCACGCGTCTGCTGCTTAGCTCCCGGATGGGGAGGTCTGCAGGCCCTGGCATGGAAAGGGCTGGCGCCCTGCCCAGCTCTCTGAGCTCTGGGAGGAGAGCCAAGAGCTCAGGCTGACTCACCAGCATGGGGAGGGACCAGGAGGGGAGGCGGGGCCTGAGGGGCAGTGGGAGGAGGAAGGCCCTGGCTATGGCTGGAACCTGCAGCTCACCTGCCCAGAGAGACAACTGTCTCCTTCATTCTCTCCTGCAGCCTTCCCTCCCAAAGGTCCAGAGGCTGGCCAAAGGGCTGGAAGATGGCGCTGGATGTACAAGCCTGCCTGGTCACTTTTGGCCACCTGGCCTCATGGTGACCTGACTCCTCTTAGCTTTAGTTTTCTACCTGGTCTTGTGTGGATGATTTTACTGTTTCCTTCCTCAGGGGCTGCTGTGAGCATTCGAGCGTATTATCCTGACTCAGTACTTAGCACAGGCCTGTCCCCTTCCGCCACCTTTCACTCATCGTAGGTATAAACAGTTCAGTAGAGATAGTGAGGTCTGTATCCACGTCCCTCTCATCCATCCCTCTTACCCATCTCTAGCGCCTCCTACTGCTGAATTCTGCCACTGTTCATGACTGGCTTACAGGAGGGGGAAGGTGAGGCCCTTCCTTCCTGGGGCTGACATTCCAGGGGTGTGGGGAGGGGAGAGGAGAGAGAGAGGGAGAGAAAGAGAAAGGGAGAAAGCTTTGTATAATGTAGTACTGGAAAGTTCTCCGGTGAACAGCAGAGTAGGATGCAGTGGGGTGGGGCTGAGGAGCCTCTCTGAGGAGGTGACTCTGGGTAGGACCCATAGGCAAAGGTAGGGAAGAGAGAGCCCAAGAGAGCAAATGCTCAAAGGTTGGAGTGTGCTCAAGAGACAGTGAGAAGGTTTTAGAAGTGTGGCGGGAGCAGAGGGATGGAGGGGCTCTAACATGACATGGGGCAGAGCCTGGACGGTTTACAGACCACACTGGAAGCACATATGGATTCCACTGTGGATGCGACCAAGTCGTGTGGGAACCGGTGCTGACATCAGCACGCACGGTGCCTGCATTTGGGCTGACCGGCTGCGCTGCCGAAGGAGAGAGCACACTGAGCAAAGGAAATCTGGAGGAAAAAGTTGATCCACCCCTCACTTTACAAAGGATAATAAGGGCGGCAGAATGGCTCAAGTGGTAGAGCGCCTGCCTAGCAAGCATGAGGCCTTGGGTTCAAACCCCAGTACTGCCAAAAAGAAAAGAAAAAAGACTCCCCAGGAGAATAAAGAGGCTGCCAGATTCCCTTGTCCCCAGCCCTCCTCAGAAGGAGGACAGGCACATGTCCCTGGATTCGGGAAGCCGTGGGTTGTTGGAGAGAGATTCGCTCACCGCACTCCAAGCACTGTTGTAAGAACACAATATTTGTAAAGTTGCTGGTTGTCAGGGGTGGCAGTTGTACGTTTGCAATGACAACAGGTGACAAGGGGGGGAGGTGGGGCGTGTCGTATGTCATTGTCCTGAACTGCCTCTCGTGTGTCTCCCCAGTCACAGTGACTTCTTTCCCTCTCGCCCTCAGCCCAGCGGTCCGCCCACGAGCTGCCCATGGTGGAAAGACAAGACATCGACAGCTGCCTGGTGTACGGGGGCCAGCAAATGATCCTCACGGGACAGAACTTCACGGCCGAGTCCAAAGTCGTGTTCACGGAGAAGACCACAGGTCAGCGGCTTTGAGCTCTGTCTGTCCTCTGGCGTCGTACAGAAGCCACCGGCTCTTTCTCCTGCACAGCAGTGGAGCCGCGTGCAGTTTCCTACCCTGCTCCTCTTTCCCTCTCTTCAGTGATCCTGGGGGCCACGCAGCTCACTGCTGCACGGTTGTCTCTACCCTCAACTTCTTTTGAAAATTGTATTTTTTCTACATAGGCAAACTTTTAAAACTTTTCCTTATTATCAAGAAGGGACGCCAAATAGCCTGGGGATTTTGCTTGCTCTGAGCCTGAATATCCTGGGTTCAAGTCCTGGCTGGGTTGTTTGTTGCCTCTGTGATCTTAGGCAAATTACCTAACCTCTCTGCGTTTGGAGTTCCTGAAGTACAGAATGACGATAATAAGATCCCAACTCCACAGGCTTTGTGAGGTTAAATGAGTTACTATGTTGAGGAACTGTAACAGCTCGGGTTACATCATAAACCAATAAACAGTGGCTACTTGTTATTTGTTTTGGGGTGTGGAGGACTCACACTTGCTGGGCAAGTGCTTTACCTCTTGAGCTATGTCCCCAGCCGTCTTGTTTTTATTTTGTTTTGGAGACAGTCTTGCTAACTATCTGAGCTGGCTTTGATCTTGATAACCTCCTGCCTCTGCTTCCCAAGTAGCTGGGGTTGCAGGCGTGCATCTCTCCCCCACTACACTGCTTATGCCTATTATAAGCAGTGCTGAAATTAATCTCTTAGAATTATTTTGTCTTGTTAACTAGGAATCTGTACATGTGTCTTCTTGTTTATTTAGGGTTGAATGCTAGCAGCAGAATTCTAGACAGTCATTTGATGGCTTTAAGGATCTAGTGATAAATTGTCTTCCAGAAATCTGCAAGATGAAACTTCCACTGTGACAGTAATGGTCTACCACACCCCAGAAACACCACTTTTTCATTAGAAGTATCTTTGTGGGATTGGTGCTCATTGGTGCTCTGCTGTGTGAGGTTTAATGCTCTTGCCTGGTGGCCACGCACCAGGAATGCTCAGTGAGGGCAGGAGCTGCTGCTGCATTCAGGAGCTTCGAGGTGGGGGCTGAGGGTCAAGGTTATCGTGTGTGTGCATGTATGTTTTGGGTGTCAGAATTTGGTAGCTGTGCTGCCCTAGGTAGGTCACTGCACCTCTCTGAGCCAATGGTTTACTGCTCTTGGGAGGTGAGAAGATGTGACAAGGCCGCAGGCTGGGCTCTTTGCACACTGAAATGCTCAGTGTTATCTTTTATTGTATTTTGGCTGTAGAAGGACAAAGATGACTCAGGCTTCTCATGGAACCAGAGAGGTTATGAAATAATAAGTGGTAATAAACCATGGAAACCTAGCAAAAGGGCTGGGGTTGCTAGGTGATGTGAGCATGGCTGGGTTGGGGTTCGAGGTAGAGTCTCCCAGTTTGGAGAGAATGTATGTACCTGGGATAAGGAGTGCCATTTTGAGCCTCCCTGGCCCCAAGCACTGGTGTTGGGGGAGCTCACTTTGTATATCTCTCTGCTTTACCAAATAAAGTTTGGCTGAACTTCAAACATAAAATGAAATAAACTATGGACCACGTTCTGTTCTAAGCACTTTGTATGTTAACTAATCTGGCTCTTCATGACTTTCCATGTCCCCACCCTAGGAAGTGACTGTCCTCCCAGCTTCACTGCTGACACTTAAGCACAGAGAGGTTAAGGGACTTGGTGAAGGTCACACAGCCAGTAAATGGCAGTGATGAGTCCTGGGCTGCTCTGCCCTAAAGAAGCTTAGAACCTAGCTAATTTGACCCTTTGAACCATGGAGACTTGACTCACTTTGTGGCAGTAGAGGCCCTTGGGTCCTGTCATGGGTCATTGGCGTCTGTAGTATCCATTTACAGAGAGCCTTCCATGGCGACTCCAGATTCCAGGTAGGCTGATGACAGGAGACCCCTGAGTCCCTGAAGAAGTGGGGGCTCCCTTGCATGGGGGTGGTGCCTGGCTCCCTGCAGCTCTAACTGAGGGGTGCCTCAACTTTGTAGGGCCCTCAGTCTGCTCTTTTGACCTCAAGGGCTCACCTCCCCGCCCGGCCACCTCCCACAGGGGGAATCCCTGTTGCTCAACCCCGTTTTTCCAAAACGCACCCTGTGCCCATCTCCATGGACACTTGGCCGCCTGGGCGCTCAGGCGGGGTGGAACAGCTGGAGTTTTCCAAGGCAGGGGAATCCCAGCTGTTCTTCACATTAGGAAAGGTGACAGGCTCGCAGGCTAATCTTAGCCCCAGGGCTTGGTCATCAGCACCACCAGTTCTTCTAGTGTTCTTTTTATAGCTGTCCACAAAAAACAGGCTTGGCACTTTCTACCCCAGCAAGATGACAAACTGAGGAGCTGGAAAAACAGGAGGCGAGGGGCAGCGTGGAGCTGCCGAACTTAGAAAAACTTGGTGTTTTGGAAAATGGCGTCTTATTTATAGCAGCAGTAATAATAATGAGAATTATATTAATCTCATTCCTGTTTTTAATTATTTTTCATGACTTACAAGACCCTGTGAGATCCAGCGCTGCCTGTCTCTCTGATCTTAGCCTTTCCGATTCTGCTGTGCTTGCTTGGCTATGGTAAAGCCCTTTCTGATCTGTCCTTTCTGCCTCAGGACTTTTGCAGTTACCGTCTGCTCTCACCGTGTTCTTCTATCATTTATTTCACACAGCTGCCTTCCTGCCGTTCCTTCAAATCTCAGTCAGAGGCCACTTTCCCCAAGAGGTCTCTTTGACCATCGCTCTTGTGGCCCAGCCTCCCCCACAGCTGTCACCTCGGTTTTCTTGGTGACACTTAGCATTTTGCAATCCTCCTGCAATCGTCCTGTCTGTCTGTTGACTCATGTGTTGACGGGTCTCCCACACCAGACTTAGTTCCTTGACAGCAGGGACTCAGTGCTTCCTACTGCATCCGTGTGTAGAGTCAGTGCTCATCTGTCACATGGAATGAAGGCCACAGCCCCTCACGTTGTTCCTCCAGCCTTGAGAGGTGGTGACTCTGTCCTCATAGGTGAAGTACCTGAAGTTCAGAGATCAAGCCAGGGACCCCTGTCAGCCTGCCGCTGGGGACTAGACCTGGACTCCCAAGGCAACCTTTGTCCTAAGTCTGGAGTAATATCTCTAGTCATGTCAAAGAGAAGCCAGCAGAACAATTAGGAGTTTTCATATTTATCACTCTGGGTAAGTGTTGAAAGGCCATTTGTCTGTTCTCTGCAACGTCAAAAATGTGTGACCTTCCAGGCAGAGTTCACGCTGGGAAACCTAGGCTGTTCCTGCCCTCAGCTGGGAACCCTGGCTGCTGGCCCCTGGCCTCAGGCGGAGTCGGGGGTCCCAGCAAAACATTGCAAAACAGGAAAAAATCTAAGGACACAAAAATAAAAGTGATGTGGTTGCGGAACCGGGGTTGCCATGGCTTTGAGTGACTCCCTGCGCCTGGGTGAGATCCAATGTTTTGGAAGGTTCCTCCATGTGACACAGGGTTTTGGAATGTTTCAGCTGGTAAATCCGTCTTAATTCAGGCCCCCAGCCCCAGCCAAGTAGCTCCCTGGCTCTGTGAGTCCTGCGGGGGCGTAGGCTGGAAACTAGCCGACATCAAATTACTCAGCTTTGAAACTGAAATTGAAGAGAATTTTTGTTTTGTTGGATGATTTTCTTGGCGTGGTTTGATGGCAGAAGCTCCCATCACCTGTCGAGGGACAAATTGATTTTTTAGCAAGGATGCGTGGGTGGTGGAATTCCCTCTTTCCCCTGAGTCACCATGTGCTGACATGAGTCACTTTATTACTTGGAGGTTCCCAAAGGTTGTATTTTGAGCTCTGTTTAATAAATAGAACTGCATGTGCTTAAAATATTAATTTTTTTTTTTTTTGCTAAGTAAGTATCTTTCCACGAGTTGGTGTCTGGGAAGAGTGAAACGCCTTAGAGAAGAAGACCCCCTCATCCCCTGCCTGTTTCTGCTTCTCCGAGCAGCAGATCTGGGGTGGAGGCTTTCCGACAGGGTCCCTCTGGGAACATCAGACCCAGGCTGGGCAGGGGCGTGACTAAGCCGCTGCAGACCTTTGTCCTCTGTGACTCATGGCTCCTGTGTCATTGGCCCCCTGGCCTCCAAAGACCAAGGCCAAACTGCAACTCTGAAGCCCCATTCGAGACTGAGAAAATGGTCTTGCTTTTAGAGAGCCAAATATTTGCCCTGATATCTGCTGTCTTATACGTGAGATCAGACTTCTGAGGGGAAGCTTGTAATCCATTCTATTTGGATACCATGGAATGAGGCCACAGAGAAATCAGTTTTCCAGGTGACCTGAGTCTGAGTGTCTGCCAGCAGACATTGTTCTTAGTGTGCTTGGGGGTTCATTAGGTAGCATGCTGGATTTTGGAATATCCAGCAGACTGGATCGGCCTCTTGGCTGCACCGGGGGATGTCACCTTGGGACTCAGTTTCCCCAACTTTAAAGTGGGGTCAGTGGTGTTTTAGCAGTAAAAGGAGATCAAGGAACTGAGAATGTCAGGAGCATAGTAAGTACTCAAAAAATGACAGCTGCCCTCCTGTGTGCCGTCCAAAAGCCTTTGCTTCACACGGGGTCCAGAGCAGGCCCAAGTTGGTTTCTTGTCTGGCTGAAGAGTCCCTCATGGTATAGGGGAGTTCTCTCCTTTTGTGCCCCAGACCTGACAGACTTCTAGCATCCTGGCCCAGCAGAGCTGGAGGGACTAGATTGATGGCTGTCTCCATCCCCTCCCTCATCTACAGCTGGGGAAGCTTAGTCACACCTGTGGTTGACAGACTTCCTTGAGGTGACAGAGCTCATCAGTAGAAGGCGGGGCACCAAACCCCAGTTTCCTGGTTCCCAGAGCAGTGTGGGGGTCATCTGTACTTGGTGGAGGGTGAGGGGGAGAGATGAGCCAGGATCTGAAGTGGGCGTCTGTGTAAAGTAGATTTGACCACGTGCACTCTCGCTCCACTCACTTAGCACCCAGGGCTTCCACCG